TCTACTGAACACTATCTTTTATAGTTGGACAAGTTTTATCTCCATGTGCAATTTAACAATCTAATTATTTTGTCTTATTTTTTCCTTTTCAAAGAATGTGATGTTTGGTCAGTTTGAAAATACACGCAAACAGACTTTTGAGAACGATGGAGGTTGGGACTATTTCCCGTTATGTTCATATACTTTCAACAATTATGTGTGTGCTTGAGGTATTTGAGAATATATACGTTTTGCATTTGTAGTCTGTCATATCGATATGCTCGTCTTGAACATGCTAATGCTTTTTGTTTAGTCATTCATTTTATCTGTGCCCAATTATTGATTATTTTTCATGCCCCACTTTTCCTTCTGCTTCCCTCATGTATGCTGACGGTACGGTCCCAATACACTTGTATATAGCAAATTGTGGAGTTGTAAAACATAGTTTACAGCACCAGAGGACATAGCACAAGTAATGTATTTCCACAAAGATGAAGATGTTTGCTTTTTTGTCGATTAAACTATTCCTTGTTTGTTTTGCCCTCATAGTTTATTCCAGGCCTTTTTTCAACTGGTATTTTGGTTATTGTTCCAGTTCAAAGAAGGCACTCCCTCACCTTTTGTGAAGACATGGAAAACCATATACATCCTGGAGAGGTTGTACTTGTGATGGAGATAGAGATAGAGATAGAGATAGGATAAAGTTATGATTTATAGAAGATTTTAGAGTTTAATTCAAATTCTGTTTGTTTAAATTAGATAAGGTTAGTTTTAATATTTTGATAAAGTTCTAGTTTATTGGAAATTTCACTAATTTTAGGTTATTTGCTGTTTTGTAGAGGGTTTATTCATTGTTATATGGACCCTAGAATGCTAGTATAAATTGATTTCTCTTGCACTAAATTTTTCTCTCTTCTCTGATCCCCCTTCTATTTCTTGTTCCTTTTTCAATTGTTCATTGTCAAATTACTATGCTTCTGCTTCGAGCAACTTTCACTATGGTTGTGTTATCTCGTTACATAAAATAATCAGCAATAAATACTCATATTGCTTGATCTATCTTTAGTAATTTAAGCCACTGTTCAACTTTATGATTATGATTTTCAGATACTTCATTTTCCTCAAATTGTAACTGATTTGTAGCTCAAATATGTTGAAAATTTTGTTATTTTCCCCTTAACATGACCATGTAAAATGTCACCTCTTCATACTTACAATTAAAATCTATAAGTTAATAATTTTATGATAGGGTGAATTAGATCATGGTATACGAGATAAAGTCTTATGAGATGCATCCTCATGATCTTCATTGTTCGTGTTTTGCTGTCATGTTGGACAAAATCGAAGGATATGTGGATTGTGTGCATGTAGAATTTCATTGCCATCCAGATTGGAAAAATATTTTCCATTGATCTCAGGCGAATGATTGTTTCTTTTCATTCCAAACTCCATATACGCTTTGGATTTTTCTCAAGGGCATGTTTGGTAGTGATTATGAAAATTAATTTTTTTAACTGTTAGAGAGAAAAGTGGGTCCCACATGTGAATAAGAAAGTAAAAAATGACTGCTGGAATAGTGAAATAATGATAAAAAAATTGATTTTTGGGGTGAAAAATTGCTACCAAACGGGAGCCAAGACTTATATGATGCATATGAAAATCAGCATGTATACCACTTATGGACTCATTTAGAGCCTATTTGATTCCCACTTTTCTAAGAATGAGAATGAAAATAATAGTCGTTACGGGACTCACACAAGAAATAGAAAGTCAAATATAGTGGATTGATATGATGGATAACGATCATATTTTTCATTTTTGTGGCCAAAGAATAATCAAGCAAGGGCTTAATCCTAGCTGTACTGTGAACATAATTGTGAATGCACCCCCATTTGCAAAAAGTCTCAGGAAATGAGGGAAAAATGATATTGACTTCAAAACGTCTACAAACAAGAAGAAAGAAATGTGAACCATGGAACGAGACTGTATGCAGTGTTGGCCATTGGGTAATATTTAGCACATGATATTTTTCATTACTGGTTAATCGAATCGGAGAACTGCCACACAGTAGCAAGATTGTGGCCACTCATGTCCTGATGTAACCATCTATTTTCAGGCACCATATCTTACATTGCAGTCAATCTTTCTGTGTTCATTTTTTAATAAAGCTCAATGTCTTTGCATTGGGTTGGGTTCTCAATTGGGATGCTGAAACTCAGCCCAATTGTCGCTCTGTTGTAGGTGCCACATTATCTCGTCCAGATCTGGTATGCTATCCAAGGAAACCTAGACTTTAATTTGATTATGAATCATTTATCTCTGTCTGACTGAGTATTTTGAACATTGATATCGTTAGTGGTCCTTGAAACTTTGGCGGGGGTTGTAGCAGATGCTCTTACATGAATATTCCTCTGTTTAGTAATTCCAAGTTGTTTCCTTTGCCGGCAGTCTTTCATGTTTTCAAATAGATTTGTTGTAGATAATTGTCTTTTCTATGTTTTTTCTTGTTTAGGAGGTGTTTGAGCCATATTATTTTGGTAATAATGCATTCTTGAATAGTGTATTGATAGAAAATGTGTAATTAAAAAATAAGGAAAAATTTTTGATCTGCGTGTAATATTATTTTATTGAAGAATGTGTGGTTGAAATGATGTCAAATCACTGTTTAAGAATGTATTTTTTTGGAATAATGTGGCTCAAACAGCCCTTAATAATCATTTTTCAAGTATGGAATTTGGTAATTTCTTGTCCATTACCTTGCAGGTATTGATTGGGCACAAAGATAAAGCTGAATTTGCACTTGCCTTGTACGCAATAGAACCGTCCTTTTGTGCTCTCTGGAGGTCCAATAACTAGCGCATATAAATTTCACTATGACCTCGTGGCACTTGCAGTAAGAAAACTGAATATGTACCTTGTCTACCCATTAAAAATAAAAATAAAAAGTCCAACACTACATATTTCTTTTGAATTTAGATTTCACAGCTATTTATATTTTTTTCTTTTCATAAAGATGGTTTTATTATTTACCTATATGTGGGCATGTGACAAAAATAGACAACGAAATGTGAAAAATTCTCCCAACTAGGTTCTTGGTTCTTTCCAATGTAGAAGTGAAATAAGGAAAACAATATAGATCATAATATTAAGAATCGAACCAATCTACTAAATCTAGACTTAAGTAACATGTGAATATCAACTGAGTTCTAATTAACAAATATTGAAAGAATAATTGCAAGTTACTAATCTACTTGTTTGATTAATCTGCTTTCAAGTAGCGCAAAGATTCCATCACGACCGTCGTTGCCAACAACCTTAATCTTCTTGGCTAGTTTCTAAGGTGTTCATCAAGTGCTATCTCTGCAAGGAAATCAAAATTAAGCGGTGAACTGAAAAGTTGGGCAAATAAACTACAAATTGTTGAATAATAAAATAACTAGCCACTGCAAACCTTTTTTTAATAGTATTTGGTGCTTTTAGATTGACAATACCAGCGTATAAAGTTGGTACATTACTAAGCAAAAAAATTAATGCAGTTTGGTCTTCTTTTCTACATTTCATCTTTTTTCAAACGATCCATCTGAGCATATTATTCTCAGATGTGGCTTTAAACCATTTTGAAACTTTTCAGCCTAGATAGAATTTTGATTTAGTGAGGGACTGTTTTGAAAATTTCTTAAATAGTAGATGTTGCTTTGGAAAATTAATTTTTATTGCTAACTATCTGATGGACCTCGAGTCATTCTAATCACTTCGTTTCTTCCTTTTATACCTCACAGTTTTCTTAACTTCTTAGATCATCTGTTTTAAAATGTTAATTTTGAAAATTGCACTTCAGGAAGGGCAAATGAGTAGTTCTATGGAGCATCCATGATTCCATCTCTACTCTGGCAGCAGATCAGGGAGCTGTGAAGTCTCCAGGATCCATGGGTGGTTCAGTGAACTGCTAACCTTCAGACAGCCCCGCCATTCAAGCTTGAGGTATTTTCAAAGGGCACACAGATACCATTGAAGATGTTCAATTTTGCCCTTCAAGGTAGATGGCACAGTCGTAGTCAGATTTATTTATTTGGGATTGAAATCTTATACCATTTCCCCAAATTCACTCCTAAGAAATATGAACACAGTTGATATTACTTTGAATTTTTATCAGCCAATAAGTCATAAGTTTAAAGTTCCTTGTTAAAGTGTCAATGAATAAATGATTTAGAAGCTTGTTTTCATTGCTGAACTCTTTCCCTTTGTAGTGTGAAAATGAAGCTATGTTCTATACCTATACTTCTTTCGACTTGTGATAGTGTAAAGGAGTTTTGTAGCGCAACAAGTCTTGCTTATCCTGAGGGTTGCTGGAACTGGCTCTGCTCCTGTTGTTTATGTTACCTTGCTATATATTTTTTAGCATTTTAAGAGCAACTTTTTACATTTGTAAAAAGCTTATGATCAGTGACAGAAAATTTTTACCTTTATATGAAGACCCGGTTTTTTTGTCATATTTTTTTCTGTTATCACCCCTCCAACTAGGCACATTAACGATGAATGTGTAATGCATATAATATATAACTGAAATCATCCCCACTGTAGCAAGGGCCCAACTCTCATTTCCTCTGTAACTATGTAGTGCATAATATGTTATGCAGATTATTCTGTTTCTTCATCTTTTCATTTTGTTGAGTGTGTATTATTGTTTTTCATTTTCAAGGTTTATGCCCTTGTCTACGCTGTTGCATTTCAGTGAGATTGCCTGTGTTCATTATGTAAATTTCATCTGATTGGCCTTTATGGTTTTTGTTATTCCCTTGCAGGTTGAAAAGGCTCACAGTGCTGATCTTCTGTGTTGATTGGAATCAGAACAACATAAATCTGATTGTAATGGGGTAGATTTTGAACTTCCATGGAGTTAACAATTAGATATCAAGATATTTTATCACATTGATCATAATACAGTAGCACAACTGTGCTTAATATGCTGTTATATTCAGTCACTTGTAATTTTCTGTTGCTTTGATTGTACCTTTGTTTTTTGCTGTATTTGGAATCTTGTAAGGGATTGGACAAATTCTGCATGTTTCAGATCTGCGGATAATGATGTCTACGTGTTTGACGTCTAAAACTTGCTTCTGGAATTGGATCCCCCGTACACATATTGAAAGGCTGTAGTGAAGCTATCCTGTGTGTCCAGGTTTCAAACAAGCAATAAAAATGAGTTTTTAAGATGGAAAAGGTTGTTTATATGTGTTGACTAGCAATTTAACAGTGGTATATATCTGTTTCAGTGGTCTCCGGATAGATCATCCTGTCTTATGCAGAGGATGGTGTCTTGAATATCTGGGATTATGAAAAGGTGCGTTGTCACTGGCTATTCCAAATCACTTGCTTTATACTTTCTCACCTCTGTACAAAATTTATACTCTTGACGAAATTTATGAAAGCATGAAGTTCTAAATTTCCTTGAATATTATGGGAGAAGCTTATGACACACGTGGCGTGGAGAGGATTACCATTGTTCAGTAGATCTACTTAGTTTGTAGTGCCTGAAATAATTATTCACGACAGAGATTGGTAAAACGAAGGACCCAGGTCCTAAATTCATCATTATTTTTTCTACTTTGTTCATTCTCATCTTGGACAAATAAATCTATAGACTGATCGATTTTTGTAGTGTTTATATCTGTGGTAACTGTGTGCAAGTTATGGGCGACCTTCAGGTTGTTTACAGTTCAACTGTCCTAATCTTTTCTTCTCAACGCAAGTTATGATTTTTATAAAAACTTACAGGGATAAGATTGTCGACTTCCAATGGAATTAATCAGCCCCGTGGACAGTTTTCAGCGTGTCCGATGATGGTGGACAAGCTGGTGGAGGAGGTACTCTACAGGTAATGACTATTTTTCTTGTGCTCGAGTGCCTTAACTAGCCTTTACCCTACTATGCTGTCCATTTTATTTTCACAAAGTAGTGATGTAGACGATATATATCCCCTTGGTATATGAGATTATGTAAAAGCCGATGTTTAGCATGCAAATGGACCTGAACTTCAGTTTACTGTTGTTGTCCAAATCATTACTGGACCATTTCATGGCCATTGAAGGAAATGGTATGCAAAGCCCAACGCTTAATTAAAGCGATTTTCTTATCGGTGATCTGGTGCTGAGGCTAATGTAGTAATCGCTGGAGGAAAATATTGTTTTGGTAGCAAAATATTCCACTAGATCAACAACATGACAGTTGCATTGGCATATCTAGAGATGTTGATGCCGCGGGAAAACTTGGAGAGATTGTTCATAGTTTTTGGTTTGGATGAATAGGAAAATTATTTAATTCTTGAAAATTTTCTGATTATGGTGAAAATTTTGGGTTGGTGACGCTAATTTTTGATGTGAACCTCAAAAATAAGAACACGGCTTCCATTGATTTTTCAAGTAATGAAGAATAATTGGATATAGCAAAGCATTTTAATGTAGGCCCAAAGGTCTTGGCATGGTAAATTCTCCAATTAGAAAGCCGCAACTGGAGTTGGTTCTTTTCCCACATATTTTACCGGAAATGTAGTACTTTAGTTACCGTTACCGTTCTACATTAACGATAGGCTTTTCTGAAGAGAACTACAAAACCTCTTGCTATTCAAGGTGGGAACACGACACGTACATCAGTTTGATCATGAGGTGATAATGATGGTGGAACTACTTTGGCCAAAAAGTTGTTGGATGCGACTTGGATTTTTAATACTCTTTTGTCAAGGCTTCCAAGATACCTAGTAATTTTATAATTGATCAAATATATGTATACAAGAGTGCGGCTCATAGAGTGGTATTTTAGCTGGCTATAGGAAGATTGCCCTGGGTTTTTTCCTAGACCAGAAGAGCTCAAATTGCACGTTGCTAAGAGATTTAAAGAGATGGGGAAGAAAGTTGCAGTTGGGGCTGTAAATTCAGTGTTAGCCTATTTTATTTTGCCCGAGACAAGCCAGGGACAGTCAAGTACTTTGAAGAGCTTTTGAGTGTGGAACTTAATAGGGCCTAGCCACAAAGGTTCTTAGATGAGATGAAAAGCAATATAAATGTAAACCAAGACATTTTTTGGACTTTTCTCTATGAATTGGAAGGTTAGTTTAGTAATCATATCTACCCGCGCATTAATTCATATTATCTTTTTTTACAATGTTTGTTCAACTCTCTTGTTTTGCGATTTGCCTCTGATGATTATGCTCTAAAAATTGCCAACAATGCGGAGGTTTCAATTTATATGTTGTGCTGAAGGACAAACTCAAATAATTACAAAGTGCACAACAACCCCATTCAAATTCATCGAAGTCGGCGTGGGGATTGGTCAAGGATTTGGTGATTGATGTGTACAAGAGAGAATTGCTTTCATACAATGAGATTCTCTTGCCTCATTTGAAGATAGGTATGGGACCAAAATTTTTCTGGCATGATTGTTGTTTTTGGAAGATGAATCATGGAAGATGCAACCTTAAGAAGAAGTTTAACTTGAATTGGTAGACAAATTCTTGTATAGAAAGGAAACTAATGCAAGGCATCCTTCCTCTTGTTCTTAGGCTGGCAAGCCTGAACAATTGGCACACAAGCACACTTATGGGTAGATGCTAGACAGTACTTGCATATGATGATATCATTAGTGCACTCTTTAACAAAATAGGCCACACGTCTAGCTATCAACGATCTTGCCATGCTGAATGGGGGAGATAAGTATTGTTATGTACTCTTCGATAAAATAGGCTACATGTTAATTGTTGGCGACTTTGTTGTATTGAATGGAGAGATAAGCAATTGTATGACATTCGCCCATATTCGAATGCACTTGCATCCTCAAAGTGGGAAGTGAGCTTTATATCAACATGCATTCCTCTCATTGTAAGGGCATCCACACAGTTCTCTCTTGCACATCTACTCGCAGGTAACTCGGTACATACCACCTTCGACACCAACCTTCACAATATAATCCATAAGCATCAGTTTCTCGGATGGATGACTTCCAACCGCAGCGCCACATCACACGCCGAAGTAAATACACAATCTTCATCTTTGTATTATGCAATGTGCGCTCCACAAAGCACTTTGGAATAGCACATGTTCCCATTATCACAATGCCTGCTTTTCTCATCCATCTTCCCCACAACTTTCTTCATCGATTCCGCATGCTTTTTGACAAGATCTATGGCCCAAAATCTTTTTCCACAAGAATGCACGCCAATGATCTCCCACAACTAAAAGCGTACATTCGAGCAGTCTCGCTACCAACTTTCATGAACCGCAGATTTGGCTCCCGAGGTTCCATGCCTTAAGCCTTTCCTTCATTCTTAGTTTGACAAGCCCAAACAACTGGCATACACGCATGCTTATGAGTAGGATGTTAAACAATAGCTGCATATGATCATATCATTAGTGTACTCTTCTGTAAAATAGGCAGACACGCCTAGCTGTTGGCGACAATGTTGTGTCGAATGGGGAGAAAAGCATTATCATGCACTCTTTGGTAAAATAGGCTACAAAGTTGGCAATCTTGCTATGCCGAATAGGGAGATAAGCTTTCTTATTGCGTGACACAAGGCCATGTTTGCTGAGCACATTAATTACTTTAGGGTGCTAAGAATTGTAAACACTGGCAAACTTTTAACTCTTTATTTTTGCATTTATATTAGTAGTTGGTAGTTGTCATTTACTTCTTGCATAGTTGCTATTGCATTTTTTCCTTTAAAAACACACTATTGTTTTTTTCTTGGACAGAACGGAAAAAAGATATAGCATTAAAGTTGTTTCACTCCCAATTCTTCTCCTTTGACATTGACTCGAAGCAACCCAACCTCCTCTAGGGTTTAGATTTTAACCTAGTTCTTGATTCCTACTTTAGAATGGATAGAGGAAGAAGATCTGGGAAGGGTAAGATCAAGTATAACCCAGGCTTTGATTGGAAAGAAAGAGCGATGAGAGAGAAAATGGAGAAATCACTGGAAGGGGATGGATCAGCGGGGGTGAAAACGGAATACGACAAGTGGAAATTGACGATCCCGGTTCTCTATGACTGGTTTACTAACCATAGCCTTGCCTGGCCCTCTCTATCTTGCCGGTGCTTTTTTCTCTATCTAGAAATTAGTTATATATTTTAATACTATTTATACAAGTGGTTAATTTTATTTTACATTAAATGATCTAGATTATTCAATTGAGCTTCCAAAAAAATGCAGGGAATTATGGAGAATTATGACTTAGCATTGCATGCCGCTCTTGGATTTTATTTCTTAGATTGCTGCTTATGGTGGTCATATATTTTGTTCCATGTTTGATTACTGAGAAGAATGGAAAGCTAGAAAGGCGAAAATGGAAATATATACTTTCATAACTTTTAATGTATTATTAGGTCTTCATTTTCTTATTTTTTCTATCTTTATTTATTTTATGATTTTATATATATTTCATCCTGCTCTAGGTTGCTAAGAAATGTGAACAATGAATAATTTTCTTATCATGGATAAATGTTGCATTGTATTTTCTTTAAATCCACCAGCCCCGCCCAAAACGCATGGAAGAAAAAAAATACTGATGGTACATTTGTTGGCTTTAAACTCGATCAATTATACAAGACTGAGAAACTTCAGGAGGAAAAGGGGAAAATAGGAAATGTTAACTTATTTTTGTCTGGAGATTTAGATGGTTATGAATCAATTCTCCATTTAATTGCTAAGTTAAAGTATGAAAATTTAAAAATTCACATCCGACATGTATGCTGTATCTTTATGTTCTTTTACTTATTTTAATTTTGGTGCATTTGTGTGGTATGGGAATTGCTGATGCATTTATTAGCTACAAACTTGATCCTGTATTTGTTTGACGAAGCATTGTAAGAGTGAAAAATGGGAAAATGCAAATTGTGCCTTAGTTTTATTTTTGTTGTCTTATTAATGGTTTATATATAAATGATTATTTATCTTCATGCCAGATGGGGTCGGCAACTGGAAGAATCTACTTACAAGTATCCTCAGCACTTCTACCTTGGTGAACAGGCATGTCAGACTTTTTTGATAGCCTAAAGTATTCCATCCAAGCAATGGTTTTTTTTTTGTTAGCTAGTTAAATGTTATTTTCTAGAACAGTTCTAAAGCTGTACTTGTCAAGATGGAAACCTGTACATATTTGGACTTGGTATCATTTTTAATGAAGATTCTTTCATGGATTTTTTCCCCAGAGAAAATAAAAAGGCTGAAAGTTAGAGTGCCCCACATAATTTTTTGTTGAATAATATTTTGATAATTGAAAATCACTTTAGCACACCTTAACTGTTTTGATCAGTTTATCATCAATTTCATTTGTTATGCCATATCTCAATCATGTTTAAACCCAACCCCCCCCCCTCCCTCCTGCTGCTTCCCGTAATGCAGACTGATGGTAGCGTTCCTAATACACTTCTCATAGCAAAGTGTGATGTTGTCAAACGTAGGGTTGCAGCAGCAGAGCATATAGCAAAGGTGATGTATTTACATATAGATTATGTGTTTTTCTTTTTACTATAAAACTATTCCTTATGTATTCTCATCCTTCAAGGATATACTCTGGGCTAACCTAATACGTACTTACTTCTCAACTGTTGTTCTTTTATCAAAATTTCAGTTCGATGAAAATGCACGCTCACCGTTTGTCAAAATTTGGAAAACCATTTTACATCCTGGAGAGGTATCTGTCACTATTATTGTTTTATCTGCTGTGGAATATAATTATCACTATCATTGTTTTATCTGCTATGGAATATAATTAGCAATGAACATTAATAACCTATTTTATCTTTTTAAATTTTAATTGGCCCTTATTCTATGTTGTTCAATTTTTTGGATGGTTCTTTGTGCTTAGATTTTAGCTGATTGTAGCTCAAATATGCTGAAAACCTATAATGTTTCTACAAGTTAATCAAAAGAATAACAAGTCATTTACCAGAGCTCTTTTTATCTAGAGAGCTTGTGCAAGCACCACATAGTCGCTTAAATTTTGTCCAAATGGATAATCAAGGGAAAAATATGTGTAAAATAAACTCAATAGGAATTTTCTCGTTCACTGCGGACTAATATTCTTTTGACAATATTTCAGTATTTAGATCATTTGAAAATCATTACATGTACCGTCCAGTATGGACTTGTGGAAACCTGATTGTACTGTGATTTGAATGCACCCCCATCACCCAAAATATCCTAGTAAGGAAAATGAAGAATTTAAACTCCAGCATGTGTACAAACTAGGAAGAAATGCAATGATCAACGTGGAACCATGGAACTTGTTTTTATACGGTGTTGGAGTATCTAATAGCATGTGATGATGTTTGATTGCAGGTGAATCGAATCAGAGAACTACCAGAGAATAACAAGATTGTGGCCACACATACTGACAGTCCTAATGTAACCATTTATTTTGGGATGTCACAGCTTAATTTGCCATCAATCTGTTTATGACATTTCGTGGTTTGGTATAATACTATTTTGTGAATTTATTACACAACTTGATGTCTTTCAATTGGGTTAGGTTCTCATTTGGAATGTCGAAACTCAGTATAGGCGTGAACCCGTTAAAGGTGCCAAAGCATCTCGTCCAGATCTGGTATGTAGTCCAAGGAACCTACACTGCAATTTACAATGTGTAAACTGTCTTTCTGATAGATACTGTTTCAATGTTGAATTCTAATATCATTAAATGCACATTGAAGCATTCTTGTTCTACTAGAGTATTTTGTTTTGGTATTTCAAGCTGTTTTCTTTGTTGTCGTTCTTTTGTATTTTCATTATGATTTTGCATCCTAATCTTGTGGTTAATTTCTTTGCTATGTTGTTTCCTGCTTAATTGTCATTGTTCAAGTATGGTACTTTGATATTTTCATACCCATAACCTTGCAGGTACTGATTGGCCATCAAGATAATGCTGATTTTGCACTAGCCATGAGCCAAACAGAGCATTTTGTGCTCTCTGGAGGTCAAACAATTACTACCTATATAAAATGTGAAGATTTCATGATATATGTTGTATAATAACTTAATAACACTTCCAAAAGAGAATTGATTAAACATCTCCTGTATCTGATTAACTCATATATTTGTTGATTTTGTGACATTGAGTTGCAATTTAGCGATTAGTACAGTGTTTTAAAAAAAATTATTGATGGATGTTGTGTGGAAGAATTTATTAGCCACTCTGCTAGCCCCGCCTACAGTCTGCAATGGTGAAACTAAGAGATTTTTCAGAAAAGATGATGCAATATATGTTCTCGACATTGTTTTATAGATGTACTTTTAGTATGACCTTGGTGTTCGGAAAACTGAAAATGTACCTATTATACCCATTTCCAAAAACTTTTGACACTACGTGATTTATTTTAGTTGAGAATTCTCAATTATCTTTGTTTTTCTTTTCCTAAAGATGTTTTTGAAGATGAGCAAATGTTTGTAATAATTGTGGACTGTTACCGTATATAACAATGAAGATATCTTCCCATATTTATATTTTTTATATTCTTAGGGATTGTATAGCATATATAGGATTTAATTTCCTTGTAAGGCCAATTTTCGATTTGTATATATATTGAGAAGAGGGTAGCATGTAAGGGACGGGTTTTTCTCAAGAAATCTCAAAAGCTATTTCTTCCTTTTGAATTCTGAATTAATCTAACATGGTATCAGAGCTTGGTACCTGATTCTTGCCGTCGATTCTCCTTGGGCAACTCAATCTGGGTTGTGTTTGGCGCTTCTGGTCGTCGATTCTTGGTGGGCGATTCGGCGCTTCTGGTCGCCGGGTTCTAGTTCTGGGACTGGGTTGTGTTTGGCGCTTCTGGTCGTCGATTCTTGGTGGGCGATTCGGGGCTTCTGGTCGCCGGGTTCTGTTGGATTTCTTGGCTTCTCTTCCCAGTCGACTCTCTCAGTTGTTTGGGTCTCCAATTCCAGCGAGGGTTCTTGGTGGTGTTCGCTGTCTAGTGTGAGTCGGGTGGCTGGGCTCGTTGTCTGGTGTTTGGTTTGAAGGGTGCAGTGGGTTGAATTCAATAATCTACAAGAGTATTTTATTTGTTCAATAATAATATAGTGGGCTATTTATTTCATCATGTCTTTGGATTCGTTTCACATTCGTTTTACTGGAAAGAATTATTCTGCTTGGGAGTTTCAATTTCAATTATTTGTCAAAGGAAAGGAGTTATGGGGTCATATTCATGGAAGTGGTCCCACCCCTACAGATGTCGATGCTTTATCTAAGTGGGAAATAAAGGATGCTCGGGTTATGACATGGATTCTTAGCTCGGTTGAGCCTCACATTGTACTCAATCTGAGACCGTATAAAACAGCCGCTGATATGTGGAATTACTTGAGCAAGATTTACAAGCAGGACAATACGGCTCGGCGTTTCCAATTGGAATATGAGATGGCTAATTTTACCCAAGGAAATCTTTCAATTGAGGATTATCATTCGAGTTTTCAAAATATCTGGACCGATTATTTGAATATTGTTTATACTAATATTCCCGTTGCAGCTCTTTCTGCTGTTCAAAAAGTGCATGAAACAAGTTAGAAAGACCAATTTTTGATGAAGCTGCATTCAGATTTTGAGATTGCACGTTCTAATCTGATGAATTGTCATCCGGTACCATCTTTGGATGTATGTTTGAGTGAACTTCTCCGTGAAGAACAACGTATCTTAACTCAAGCAACCTTGGAACAAAGGACTGCTGTCGACACTCCGATTCCTGTAGCTTACGCAGTACAAGGGAGGAATAGGAATCGGGACACGCGTAATAACCAGTGCTATAACTGTAAAGTTTTTGGTCACCTTGCTCGGGATTGTCCTAAGAAATCTTGTCATTACTGCAAGAAATCGGGTCATATTCTCTCAGCTTGTCCCATTCGCCCTGAAAGGAAACACAGCACAGCATATCATGCCTCCACTGATGCCTCTGATGCCTCTAGTTCTACTACTTTGCATATTGCCTTGCAAGTTGCTCCTAGTCCAAATCCGAACACACTCACTCCTGAAATGGTACAACATATGATTTTTTCTGCTTTTGGAATCTCAGGTAATCACTCCACTTCTTCTAAGCCATGGTTTTTTGACTCCGGTGCCTCTAATCATATGACTAATACAACTGATCTCCTTTCCAATGTCAAAAAATATGATGGCAATATGAAAATTAATACCGCCGATGGCAATTCTCTGCCTGTAAGTGCTATTGGTGATCTTTCCCCATCCTTACCTGACGTTTTTGTATCTCCTGCTCTTTCTACGAATCTTATCTCTGTTGGTCAATTGGTTGACAATAATTATAATGTCCATTTTTCTCGCTCTGGCTGTGTTGTGCAGGATCCAGTGTCCGAGAAGATGATCGCGAAGGGGCCTAAAGTGGGACGGCTATTCCCTTTACATATTTTTCCTTCCCCAGTCATTCCCCGTTTTCCTTTACTTTCCTTAGCATGTAGTACTGATAATACTGGAAATAAAATGTGGCATAAACGTTTAGGCCACCCAAACTCGGATGTACTTCGTACTTTACTTAATTCTGGTTTATTGGGAAATAAAACAAGTTCTTTACTTAATCTTTCGTTTGATTGTACAACTTGCAAAATTGGCAAAAGTAAAGTTCTACCGTTTCCTTCTCATGCATCTCATGTCTCACACTATTTTGATATTATCCATAGTGATGCTTGGGGGATTGCCCCTGTTGTTTCTCATGCACACTACAAGTATTTTGTTACTTTCATTGATGACTTTAGTCGCTTCACTTGGGTTTATTTTTTAAGGGCTAAGTCTGAAGTTTTCTTATGCTTTAAGCGATTTCTTGCTCTTCTTGAGAATAAGTTTTCTACCACTATCAAAATCCTACGATCCGACTTTGGGGGAGAGTATATGTCTAATGAGTTTCAAGCCTTTCTCCAAAGCAAAGGAATCATGTCTCAGCGTTCTTTTCCTTCGACACCGCAACAGAATGGTGTTGCTGAACGAAAAAATCATCTTCTAGATGTGGTACGGACTCTTTTACTTGAATCATCCGTTTCTCCTCGTTTTTGGTGTGAAGCACTATCTACTGTTGTTCTTCTAATTAATCGTTTACCATCTCCTACATTAAATCATGATTCACCTTACTTTAGGTTGTTTGGTCGTCCTCCATCATATTTTGATCTTCGTACATTTGGTTGTGTCTGCTTTGTGCATCTCCCTGCTCATGAACGACATAAACTTACTGTTCAGTCTGTTAAATGTGCTTTTCTTGGCTATGCTACCTCACAAAAAGGATATGTTTGTTATGATCCTAATGCTCGTCGTATTCGTGTCTCTAGAGATGTGGTTTTCTTTGAAAATCAATATTTCTTTCACTCTCATGTTGAGCCGCTATCTGCAACATTCTCTCATTTGCCGAGTTTTTCTGATTCCCCTCCGGTTGTGGAAAGGTTTAAACATGGTTTTGTGTATGCCCGCCGTCGTCCACATGAGTCTATTTGTACTCCCTCTATGCCCCCTCGTGATCTCGACTCAACACTTGATCCTGCTACAGCTGTCACCAATCTTCGTCGATCTACTCGTCCTTCTCGACCTCCTGATCGGTATGGTTTCTCTCCCCCTGTTTCCCTCGTAACTACTTTATCATCTATTTCTATTCCCTCTTGCTACAAACAGGCTATGGAACATAAGTGTTGGCGGGATGCAATGCAAGCAGAACTTCATGCCCTTGAGGAGAATCATACTTGGGACATTGTTCCTTGTCCTTCTACGGTCAAGCCTATAGGGAGTAAATGGGTTTTCCCAGTCAAACTTTGGCTTGATGGTTCTTTGGATCGATACAAAGCTAGACTTGTAGCTCTGGGTAACAAATAGGAATATGGGGTAGACTATGAGAAAACATTTGCCTCTGTTGCCAAAATGACCACGGTTCGAACAATCTTGGCTCTTGCTGACTCCCAGTCATGGCAACTACATCAGATGGATGTGAAGAACGCTTTTCTTCATGGTGATCTTCAAGAGGAGATTTATATGAAACTTCCTTCTGGTTTACCTGCTACTTCTCCTCATGATGTTCGTAAGTTAAGGCGATCTTTGTATGGGCTCAAGCAGGCCCCCCGGGCATGGTTTGAAAAATTTCGTGGTACGCTTCTTACATTCGATTTTACACTAAGTCAGTTTGATTCTTCTCTCTTCTTCCACAAGTTTGCGACAGGCATTGTTCTCCTTTTGGTGTATGTGGATGATATAATTATTACTGGAACTGACTGTAGTTTGATTATTAAACTTCAAAATATGTTGCATGCTACTTTCCATATGAAGGACATGGGTCACCTCACTTACTTCTTAGGGCTGGAAGTTCATCATCGAGACAATGGCATTTTCTTAAACCAGCATAAGTATACTCAAGATCTTATCACATTAGCTGGTTTGGAGGATACCTCTTCGGTTGATACTCCTATGGAAGTAAATGTGAAATTCAGAAGAGATGAAGGGGATCTCCTGGATGATCCCACACTCTATCGTCGGTTGGTTGGGAGTCTTATCTATCTGACCACTACTAGACCGGACATCTCATATGCTGTCCATCAAGTGAGCCAGTTAATGTCTTCTCCTCGACATCTTCACCTTGCTGCAGTCCGCCGCATTATTCGTTATCTTCGCGGGTCACCTTCTCGTGGGTTGTTCTTTCCTACAGGGTCATCTCTTCAGCTTGTTGCTTATAGTGATGCTGATTGGGCTGATTGCCCGAATACACGTCGTTCTACTACGGGCTGGTGTGTGATTTTTGGTGATGCATTGATCTCTTGGAAATGTAAGAAACAAGATCGTGTCTCTAAGTCCTCTACTGAGGCCGAGTATCGTGCAATGTCTATGGCTTGCTCAGAAATTATATGGTTACGCGGTATTCTGGAGGAGATGGATTTTCCTTAAGCTAATTCTACACCTCTTCATGCTGATAACACGAGTGCTATCTGTCTTTCATGAGTGCACCAAGCACATTGAAGTTGATTGTCATTTTATCCGCGATACATTGGAGGGTCGGGTTATATCTCTTCCTTACATTTCTTCTGATCTTCAAGTGGCCAACATCTTCACCAAGGCTTTGACTCGACAACGATATCAATTTCTTGTTAACAAATTGTTGCTGGTTGGCTTCCGCCACATCAATTTGAGGGGGGATGTTACCGTATATAACAATGAAGATATCTTTCCATATTTATATTTTTTATATTCTTAGGGATTGTATAGCATATATAGGATTTAATTTCCTTGTAAAGCCAATTTTCAATTTGTATATATATTGAGAAGAGGACAGCATGTAAGGGACGGGTTTTTCTCCAGAAATCTCAAAAGCTATTTCTTCCTTTTGAGTGTTGAAAATATAAAGTGAAACATGAAGATGCTCCTGATGTGCTCTTTATTTATTTCCTCCTTGTAGAAGTGATATAGCGAATTCTTTAAAATATTTATGGTTTTATATTATCATTCCTCATGGATAAATTTTGGAGATTTAGCCTTTGTTTGTCTTCTTTTAAAAATTAAATTGTTTGCTACAGTAACATTCTCCACTACACATTCACACAATAAAATATTCTACACACAAACCAATAAAGCTTCTTTAAATTTCAACCATACATTCTCCAAAAAATACTATTCAAAACTCTATATTTTCTCCCATAATGGAAGACAAACAGGCTCTTAATGTAGTGTTTTTTGGTTTCTTCTATTTTTCATCGTTCTTATTTTCTCCCTGGAAAAATCATTTTAGCATTTATCAAATAACAAGTTGATCCACGGGTTCGTATTATTACCATATGGGGCTTTAATCCATTTCGTAATTTTTTGTTCTGTATAGAGTTTTTGGTAATATATGTGATTTAGTAAAAGGGCACTTTCTGGACCTTCATTACATTGTCTCTTTTGAAAAATTAAGTATATTTTTTGTTCAAACTGCTACATTTAGTTCGACTATCTTATATTTCTTCTTTTTACCCCTACAGTTCTCTCAACTTGTCTAAGATTTATGTAGTCAATTTTGTAAGTTTCATGGCAGGGAAGGACAAGTTAGTTGTTTTATGGAGCATCCATGACCACATCTCTTCACTGGCATTAAATTGTGGACCTATGCGGTCTACAGACAACCGCACTGTTCGAGCTCGAGGTATTTTCCAAGGGCACAGGGAGACTGTTGAAGATGTTCAGTTTTGCCCTTCAAGGTAACTGGCACAGTTTGAGATGAAAATTTTAACCATGGGCCACAGTGTCACTTTTAACGAATATGAATGATAGATGGAGAAGGATATGATATTGAATTTTTATCATCTGGCTAGTCATCTGTTTGAAGTTTCTAATGAAATGTCAAATGAATAAATAATGAAGAAGCACACTTCTGTTGCTGAAGTCTTCCTGTTTTATTTGGAATCGATAAAATGTGAAGGTATGTCCATATATACTTATACTTGTTTCAACTTGTGATATAGTGCTCAGGAGTTCTGCAGCGTTGGTGATGATTGTTGTCTTATCCTATGGGATGCAAGAACTGGCTCTGCTCCTGTGGTTAAGGTTATCTTGCTTCTTTTTCTTTTCACCAATCTAAGAGCGTCAATTTACATCTGAGAAATGTTTTTCTTGCAAAATTTTTAACCCTCTAAAGGAAGACCTGGCAGTTTCATTTTTAAACTTTCACAATTAATTCTTCTAATAAGTCGCATAATCGATAAACTTGTATTGATGTGTAACTGAAAGCCTTCCTCCTTAGGAAGAACTAGCTTTCCCTCTCTTTATAACTACATGTTCGTGAGATGTTAGTTAGAGTGCGGATGATTCTATCTCTTAACCTTTTGATTTTGTTGTGCTTATATTGTTACCATTGTTTAGTTTGTCTATCGTTTCATTTATCATAATGATTTTTCCCTGAAGGATCTATTTTTAAGTTACTTTGCCAACATCTGCACCATTGCATTTACTAATGTACCGGCTGTAGTACTTGTTTATTGTGCAAATGTCATCTGATTGGCCGTTGTGGTTCTGCTTATTTCCACACAGGTTGAAAAAGCTCACGAGGCTGATCTTCACTGTGTAGATTGGAACGCGAATGATGCAAATCTCATTTTGACTGGGTACTTTTTTTTTATCTTTGGTCGAGTTGACAATTATAAATCCTAGCTGTTTAAACACGTTGGTTATAATGCAGTGGGACAACTGTAATTTTCTGTAATTCTAGCTGAATATGGCATTGTATTCAGTGACTTATAATTTTCTGTTACTTTGATTGTATTTTTTACTTATTATTGTATTTGGAGTCTTGTCAAATAACGCCTGCACCCTTCAGATCTGCTGATAATAGCATTTGTATATATGATCGTCGGAAACTCTCTTCTGGAGGAGTCAGATCCCCTGTACAGATATTTCAAGGCCATAGTGATGCTGTCCTGTGTGTCCAGGTGCCAGACATGTTGTGTACACGAGTGTTTAAATGGAGGGTGTTAATGTGTGCGTTAAATATCAACTTAACAGCGTTATATTTCCCGTTTCAGTGGTGTCCAAGCAAGACATCTGTCTTCGCCAGTGGTGCAGAGGATGGTAACTTAAACATCTGGGATTATGAGAAGGTGGGTGTAGACAAACGTAATAATACTATGAACAATTTTCGTGATAAAACACGCACTAAAAGAATGACAAGGAGCATTTTTATCCGGTGTTTATTCATGACAAGCAGGTGGGCAATGCTGGAACAAGACCTTCAAATTGTCCCCCGGGCCTATTCTTTCAGCATGCTGGACACAGGTCTCAAGTTTATCATTGATTGCATTTTCATCCATGACAAATAAATTTGTAGACTCGTCCATTATCAAGTTTTTACCTGTTGATTGTTTTGTACTCTTGAAGTTGGAAAAATGATTGTACTGAACTATTCACAGGGGAAGGGTCGTCGAATTCCACTGGAACGCATCAGATCCTTGGACAATGATGAGCCTTTCTGGTGAAAAAACTGGGCGCGGAGGTACATTACAGGTAAGAATTTCTTGTGCTGGAGTGTAGTTCAATAAGGCTTTAGTGAATATGTGTACATGAGTGAGATTATAAAACTGCTGGTTGGTAGTCGAGCGCCTTATCCAAACAAGTAATATTATTGTCATTTTGGCACAGATATGGCGGGTGATGGACATGCTTTACCGTCCAGAAGAGGATGTCCTAGCTGAACTGAATGAGCTGAAATCTCATGTGCGGATTTGCTCGTCTTGAGAAACTAAACTTGTGGTGTTGTTGAATTCTATTCAAGGACTTGAAAAATATTTCAGGGTTTAATTTTACATGAGATTGTAATGATGATAAAACTAGAAGTTTTTGCTGCTGCATTAAACTTGAATCCCCGGAAATCTCTCTTTGTTATAATTTTTTTTCTTGCATCTCAATTTTATTGTTACTTTTGAGATTTACATATGTCACCTCGTCTAAGCCTTGGTTTCCATTCTCCGTCCATGCGACTAATATATAGGTCAACTATTGTAGTCATTCTATGTGTCAGTTTGTTACTAAACATTAGCTTATTATTTGAAGTAAGATAATTGTAGGAAATTAATGGCTTAAATAACAAATTTTGATACAAGGTGCCTTGTAGGATGACTGCTATAGTTGTCGACTACAAATAACATCATTTTATTTGAAAATTTAGTGGAGATAAAACTAAGTTTGTGAATATTAATATGGGAAAATTTCATAACTAAGAAATTAATTATGGCACATTTCAAAAACAAGAAAACAAGTTTCAAATTTCTAAAATCAGATTTTTATTAAAAATTATTTCTAATTTAATTAGTTAATTAATTATTTTATTAATTAAATATATTTAGGTCACGGATCTATACAATTTGGTCACAAATTAATAATATAATTAGTTACTTATTATTTTTTGGTCACAAATAAAAAATTTTATGTCACAAAATTTTTACGATCACAATTCAAAAAATTTTTAAGTTACAATTTGTTTATTGGTCACAAATTCAAAAATAATTAGTCACGGATTAATTTTTAGTCACGATTTATCATATTATTGGTCACAAATTAAAAATTTTATTGATCACATTATTTTTCGATCACGAATAAAAAATTTTATAGGTCACAGATTAATTTTTCGGTCACAACTCAATAAATTATAAGTCACAAACACAAATTTTATACGTCAAATATTATTTTTCGATCACGAATTAAAAATTTTATAGGTCACAGATTAATTTTTCGATCACAACTCAATAAATTATAAGTCACAATTTTTAGGTCGCGTATTATTTATTAATTTTAGTCACGAATTAATTTTTAGTCACACTTATCAATTTATTGGTTACAAATCAAAAATTTTATAAGTCACAAATTATTTTTCGATCGCAAATGAAGATTTTTTAAGGTCACAATTCAAAAATTTTGTAGGTCATGATTTGTTTGTTGGTTACATAAGTCAGATCATAAATATTATAAGTCACATATTATTTTTTTTAGGTCACATACTATTCTCGATCATAATTTATCATTTTTAGTGGTCACATATTGTTTATTGATCATAGGTTAACCAATTTAATGGTCACGATCAATCAAATAATACATGACCACCACCAAACCACCACTCCCTTCAACAACACCATCGCTTGAACCACCAGCACTATCACCGACAACAACACTAGTCTCAAACAAAAAATCAACTCCAAAATTATCAACGCCATCGCCGCCACCACCGCCACACCAACACCACTGTCGCCGCCGCAGCACCATAACCATCCCTACCACATCTCACCATCACGGTAGCCCAACCACAGAACTCCACAATCTACCACGTCACCACCGCCACTACAATCGCAACCACCGTTCCCACCAGATCCACCGTCTCATCGCCAACACCACCGTACACAACATCGCACAATCATCGTACACAACCCCTCATCGCACCATACCTAGCCACCGGTCATCGCACACAACCACAACATCGCACCACCACCCATTGCACAAAAAAGATCTGCAGCGCCCATGGAGAAACGTCGACATTGAACACATCGCGCCAAGCTGCAAGTGAAGCTCAGTGAGCGCCGCATGCTACTCACAGACACGAGCTCTGCTTTGGTCTTCGGGAACGGCGACGGTGATTCACACTTCTTCTGCCCAGCGACACTTCGAGTGGTGACGACGCCGTGAATGGTTGCTGTGCAACGGAAGAGAGAAATTGAAGAGACGGAGTGTGCGGCTAGATAGAGCAATCTGGGAGAAAACGGAGAGAGAGAGAGAGAGAGAGAGAGAGAGAGTGTGTGTGAGGGTTTAGAATAAAAAATGTATATTTAATATTAATATTTAACTATAATATTTCTGATTTTTAATATTTAACTATAATTTTAAATTAATTAGGAAATGAAAAAAAAAATCTAATTAGTGAAATATTAAACTTCCACTCTTATTTGGGAACTATGAATAGATAAACTATGGATTTGTGTAATTACCACTATTAATGTTGACACCACTAGGGGTGGAGAAAACGGCCAAATCAAACTAAATCAGACCAGAGCCAAACCAAACCAAGCGGTTCGGTTCGGTTCTATCAAAAAAATTAATAGTTTTGGTTCTGGTTCTGGTTTAGTTCTAGTTCAAAAAAAAGAAAAAAAATCAGAATCAAACTTAATATTTAATTTTATATATAATAATTAGTGGAGACCCTAATTTTATATTCATTGGAGATAGCCCATTGATTGAATACAATTTATTAATCAATTTTGGGTCATTAGAGATAAATAATTCATTAGTTGTTTACACTCTAATTTTGTATTCAATTGAATTATTTCTCATTTACTCATTTTTAATTTACACAACGTCGCAGCATACTAGTACCGCATTTCATCAAGTCAGTGGAGTGTCATTTGGGATCGAAAAATGAAAATGGTCAGTTACTTAAAAAGTCTCTCAACTCTTTTTTTACTTTGATTGTGTTGATGCGTTATGTGTGTTCTTCACCAATAGATGAAAACCTAATAAACATTCATGAAATATTAAACGATTAATGTTGCTTATAGAAATGGACTATAAAAATTTTGATAATTCATTCTTTATTGTAGGGGTGTGTCTTCAAAACTACTGTAATTAATTTAATGAATTATTGCTATTACTTATTAAATAGTTTTTTGTATGAAAACGAAAACTGATTGGTGTATTCAAATTATGAATATATTTTGTTTGTTAGTCGTGACTTTTTTGATCTCGATGATTAAAATTTGAACTTCCTAAATGTTTGATGTTTAAATTCTTATTTAGGTATGCATTACTAATTTATATGATACAAATCTAAAAATTTAAGAAATGAAATTAGAACAAAATCAAACCAGAATCGAAAGGTTCGGTTCAATTTGGTTTCATATTTTTAAAAAAATAATTTGGTTCCATTATAAAAAAATCGTTGGTTCATGGTTCAGTTCGATTCTCTTGGAGCCAAAATCATATGTAACCATATCCACCCATATGCACTACAATTTTGTTTCTTTTTCTTTTTCACTTTTTAATTACATTAAAGGTCATCAACATTGGCTAATTGTCCTTTTGTATTCAACATCCTTTTTGTCACATTTTAGCATATTTTGTTCCCGAAAATAGTTTTTGTTCCATCATATTTTAAAATAAGCAAGAAACCAATTTTAAAAAAAAAAATGAGACAAAATGTTTGTCCTTCGTTTTGATGCATGCAAAAATAATGGTTAGTCTTAAATCACTATCAAATTAAATGTACTAAGTAATGAAAGATTGAAGGTGAAAATATAATCAACTAAATGTATTAATTAATGAAAGATTGAATGTGAAAATGTAATAAAAAAATATGAGGACACAAGTGTGAATGAAGTTAAAATTAGAAATCTTAAAAAACCTTACTACATGTACACTATGGTGTAAATTTTAGTTTACACTTTGTCACATATTATTATCCTATTGGATATTTTAAATTTCAAACAATTTTTTATCCAATTGACACTTGACAACAATGCAACTTTCAAAAATCAGTGTACAAATAGCAAAGTTCAACCTTAAAACTTAAATTATAATTTAATTTGATCAAGATTTTTTAAATGCATTTTTTGTACAAGTATTTTATTTATTATGAGTCCTTACCAGCATTACCAAACAAGTACGAAAACTAATTCAATAATTATAACCATAAATTTTGGCAATAATAATAATAATAAATTTGAACCTGATTAAACATCAAATAAAAACAACCCATTTAAAGTTCTAGAAAAGGTGGAAAAAATGCGACTTTAACTCAATTACACATAAAACGTGATGGCACTTGGCCCCTATTTTGTAGAAATGAAAATGTGTGAAATAGTGTTTTTTTTAACTGAGTGGTTGAAAAAGAATTTTTTTTTGATTTACGCGTAATATTATTTTATTAAAGATTGTGTAATTAAAAATAGAAGAAAAAAATAAAATATAATAGAATGGAAATTAAAGGGGCGAAACGGACCTGATCTCGACCCCAACATAGGAAATCTCGCTCTCTCTAGTCGCTACATAATAAAGAACACGCTCGACCGCTCTCTCTCTCTCTCTCTCTGCTCTTGTTTCTGGGTGTGGAATCCGTATCGAGAAATGGGTCGTCGGAACTTTTGTCGGATCACGACCTTGTACTTATGCCTTCTTCTGATCTCGACGACAGTACACTCTTTCTATCTCCCCGGTGTGGCCCCTCGCGATTTTCAAAGAGTAGTATTTCTGTCTCTTTTGTACACTTACGACGTCTCCTAATTGTCTTTGTTTTAACCTGAGCATTATTTGATCTTTAGATCTAGTAATATTGTAGTTGATTTCTCGGATCAATTGTTTATTTTTCTAGTCTTAGTAAGTTCATTTCTGTTGCTTGCTTGTGTTGTTCCTAAATTTTGTTTTGATTGATGGAGATCTATGGTTTATATGTTGGGTGATTTGGTGAATTTGATTTGGATCTAGGGTTTTGATTTTTGTATTTTTGTATTTTTTTTTTTTGGGGGAATTTCGTTCGTAGCTTTTGTATCTGATTGGAAAGGATGCTGCTGTGTGGCCTTGTTATGAACTCTTCATTAGAAGGAAAAGAAAATTTAACTTTCCTGCATTTGACTTTCGATGATAATTGATACAAGGATTGGCCCCTTTTTTCTTTTTTTTTTTTGTGTAATACAGTATCATGAGTTTTTTGCCATTGCGGGTATGTGCTTAGTCATGATAATTATGTTGATGATGAAGAAGTATCGATGGGGATGATCTGAATAGCAACTATATTACTTGGCAGATTGCAATGACCATAGAAAAGAGCAGGTCTGGGGAAATTGATGTTATTGTGCTGCTCAAGAGGTTGTCTTAGCTCTAATCTTGCCTGATACCATCTTCTGGGTGATGCCAACTTGGAAAATCATTTTGCCTCTAGTAATCCCTAGTTTCGGATTACACCAAATGCTTGCTTTCCTAATGAAAAATGTTTTCGGTATTTTTAGATTCTGATGCTGTCCGTGTCGGATTTGTCGACATGCAATTTTTCGAAAAAGTACTCACACGATATGTCGACAACATGCAAATTAATTTTTTTTAAAAATTTTCAGTTATATAGTTTAAATTTAATTTTATACTTATTATAAATTTTTCTTGTTGAAATGTTCTAAATATGAGTACTTGTTATTTAATAATAACTTTAAGTTAAAAATATATATTATTTATAATAAAGAAAGAAAAATGATTATGTTAGAGTATTCGAAGAGTGTCAGTATCGGACCCTATTCAGATACGGATACCAGTTGTGCAGTGAAGATTATCATTGGTGGTGGAGGGCCTACCTGACTGCTGGTTCCTCGGCTTTGTACCTTTTCTTATACTCTGTTTTTTACTTCTTCACTAAGTTGGAAATTACAAAGCTCGTTTCTGGCATTTTGTACTTTGGGTATATGCTCATTGCTTCATATGCCTTCTTTGTGTTGACGGGAACCATTGGCTTCTGTGCTTGTTTCTGGTTTGTTCGGAAGATCTATTCCTCTGTGAAGATCGATTGATGTAAGATGAAGGGAAATTTGATAGTAGAATGAGAAGAATGTCTTCAGGATGGTGATGGAAGAGCAATTAGATTGGTAACTCTTTATACGCAGGATAAGAGCTTGAAACTCTGTAAATTTTCCCAGCCTGCAAAATAACATTTCATTTTCCAGTGGCTTGTATTTTATTTTCTTGTTCGATTTTGTTCAAAACCAAAAATCAGCGTCATGGACTGTAAGATGTTGAAGAATTTCTAATAGAAGTGACCTTAGTTGTGTTGGAACTTTTCTTGTTATTCGTCAGTACCAATGCAAATGTAGCCTGATAAATATTGTCAAGTTTTCTCGACGTTTTTAATTCATTTCGTAATTATCGATATACTTTTCAACGAAGATGTGACAACAAATTATAACCGACTTCATCCCTTTATGATTCCAATTTCTTTTACTGATTTTTTTTTTCAAACTTATTTTCGATCACATTTTATGGGATTTGTAATTTTTCCCAATTTTTATCAAAAACTAGTGTTTCTAAAACTATGTAAAATAATGTTAGCGTGTCGAGGCTCAAGGATTGATGGGCGTTGAATGAGGTCAACAATGTCAACTTCGTTCGACGGGCAAAGTTCCATATGATTTCACTTACAAAATATAGGACGAGGCATCCCAAGAGTACGAAGAGAACAAGAAAACTCCAAGACATAAAATAAACTTCCAAAGAAGAGGTAAAGCATATAGAGACATTAGACAACATGTGAGTGTTTTCCCTCAGGTTTAGCAGTGATACTAGTAGTCTCCAATGGTGAAATCTTCTACAGAAGAAGTTTTGAAACTTCCGAGAAAGATTATGTTTCGAACGTAGAGTTTCACCTCTCTCCAGAGCCGGAGTATGGTTTTGGCCCCAGTGTGGAGTTATTGCTTCATCTGGAGATGGAGTAGAATCCCATTTCAGTTCCTTATTCCAGTCAGTACGAGCTCGTTGCCTTCTACAGTACTTGGGATAAAAGCTTGAGGAAGTTATCCAAATATTTACGGCAGGAAAATTTTTGTTGACACGATCAATAGAAACAGAGATAGGAGCACCTACTATCTTGGAATTCTTGGTGCATATTAACATGTTACATGAAAAACACAAATTAGATTAAAAGAAGCAGTTAAAAATATTCTGGAATGGAGATTTAAGTCGAGAAACAAACCAAAATGAACCTTCCTTTTCCCAAGCCAGCAACTCTCGGAATGATACATCAGAGAAAAGTGCATCCATATTCTCAACAAGGGTGCCAGCTTTTGCTTTTTTTTCCATGTGAGCACCAAGTTCTTGAAGCTTGAAATAAAAGGATGTCATTCTAGAAAGAGATCAGCTGCCAAACACAAGGAACCAATTGTAACTGCGTCACTTGTATCTTCAATCTACCAGTTTGATTAAAACTGTGTTACGCATGTCCAGAGACGGACGCATAGAAATTGAGTTAGGAGGGCATAATCAAACTTTGTACAAATCAAATACTTTATTTTTTATTTTTAAACGATTCATATTTGACCTGAAAAAAATGTAGTTTTACATTTCAAAAATATTTCTTCATTAATATTTTGCTAATCATTTTCATCTATTTGATTTTGAATAATAATTTTATTAATATTTTGCTCATCACAAGAAAATACATATTTATGTTTTAAAAAATTGTTTATTTGATACAAGCAATCAATTTAAGTAATCGAATGAAAAAACAAATAACCAATATTCAATACTAATAATCAGCTAGCAACTCTTGGAATGATATATCAGAGAATAGTGCATGCATATTCTCAACAAAGGTGCCAGATTTTGCTTTCATTTCCATGTGAGCTCCAAGTTCTTGAAGCTTGAAAATAAATGGATGTCATTCTAGAAAGAGATCAGCTGCCATCACAAGGAACAAGGAACCAATTGTAACTGCGGCACTTACATCTTCAATCTACCATTTCCTACACTCATGTCCTCAATCTTGTAAAACTGTGTTACGCACGTCGAACGGGAATGTTTATTTGAACAATAAACGATTAAGTGATGAGAGGGATAAGTTAAAGAAAGGAGATATATTTCATTAATATTATAAAATCTTATTCTATTCTAATTTTGTAAATGAAGCGCTTGTTGGATAAAGATTTTTTGAGAAGAGATTATTTGAAAAGTTTCTCTGTGAATATGTGGTTAATTAAGTGGTGGAAGTCGTAGAAAAATGTGGAAAATTAATTTTTTTGAAGAATGTGTTGTTTAAAATAACCAAAATCAAACAGGGTGAGAGTTAAAGTGTTAATTTGGAATAAACAAATATTTTTGACGATTTTACCCTTTCAATATGATATCACATGATGTAACACTGTCATTTATGTTCAACCAATCTTTTTGATTAGCTAGGTACACGATTGGAATAGGTTTAAAAGGTGGGAAAATAAGTGCAGCAAATGATAGTTCAGGGACATAGTGCAACACTTATGAAAGTCTAGGACCCCTGATAGAATATACCCTTTTTGTCATCTTCTCTAGTTTGCTAACTTGAAAGACAAGATAAAAAAATATTTGGGCCCTTCCAAAGAATTATTAGATTTATCCTTGTAAAAGACCAAATTTGATATATCATTAGTATAATAATACAACTCCAGGCATTTTGCAAAGAAAAAGCAAATGAAATGATTGCTTTCTTGCAAATGAATGATACAAATCTTGCATGCTAATTAATCCCTCCCTTGATCCCCAAACTTTTGAATGATTACAAATGCAGCCCAAAATAGCATAATAACTATTATACATACACTATCTCCTCTGCAATCATCTTGGAAATTTGTATGGGCTTTGGAACAGATGGTGTGTTGCATATATGTACAACTTCACCCCCAGCAAAGCCAAAGAAATGGTTGAGATGAACTCAGAAGTCTAACAACTACCTCGAGAAAAGAAAACATCCAGCGACTCGTGTCAAGAGGAAACAGAACTGTGGTCGAACCCTTATAATGTCTTGGCTTGGCCATGGATTAACTGCAAATGGCCTCTACGGAAACTTTCTTCATAATGTTCGGACATGGATCTCCTCCAAAGATCTCGGGCGTTACAGGTACGGCGCAAAATTGTTGCCCAATGCAATACTGCAAAATTTAAAACAAGAAGCAGTGCAAAGGTCAATCCATATATCAGATGCAAAGAAGCATTTTAGTTAAAGAGCAACCTGATAACCCAATCAAACCACGGCCAGTTAAACTGGAATATGCTGGTTCACCGGTTATCAACTGAATATTAATATGTGGTTTAAGTTATAACCCGATTCTTAGTTCCTGGTTTTTATTTTATTATTATTTTATTTTTGGGTTGAACCGGGTCAGGCCGATTCTTAGATCTCTGCTTTAAAGCAGGTATGAATAAATTCATGAAAAGATCAGTAAATATACCCTCTCGAAAACATCATAGGAATGAAATGCATGACAGCTTCCCTCTTGGAAGTTTCCACAGACCCCTTGGGGTGTTCCAAAGCTAGCAAATTTGATAGACGAGATTTTCTGACCAGGATCACACGAGAGGTGAACTTTTGGTCTCAGTGGTTTGTTGACTTTCCTGGATGCTTGCATCTGCCAATTCACTAATGTTGGCTGCCATTCAAATATATCTGCACATACACTTGCTAATTCTCTTTTTACCAAAGAGATCCCATAAGGATTTCCTCCCCATTCTTCAAAAACAACCAACAAATTTCCTGTTGGATAGAGCCAGGAACGAGGAATGTGATACCTAGAAAAAAATCATTCCTCGATTAGTTGAGCATCTTCGATATAAGATATATGGTGGAGCAGTGAAGATTTTCTTACCATCTCTGAGAAGCTTCCCCGCAATTACTTAAGCATTTTTTTTCATTGAACCAACCGGCATAATTACAGGTATCACAACTACCGGATGCTTTGTACTGATTCCAATAGCGTCCAATACTTTGACCATTTATCCACACCTGGCCTTTACTCATGCTATTCATGTCTAAAGCCAAAGGCCCGTCCCCATCTGGAGCATTAAAAGTAGACTGGAAAAAAGAACATATAAGTGGAGTATCAGCTAGGTAGCTTCAGTAAAAATGCGAGCAAAAACAACTAGGACGTGTAAGTGGATCTAAAATCTGGATTCAAATGAGTCATCATCATTCAGTTGCTACAAAAGACAGAATAATTGACCAAAACACACTCACCTTGTACCACGTTAATGGCTGCTTTTCATAGGAACCTTCAACCCATTCGACGGAAGAGCTTCCACTGAGCGAATGAATACTCAGAGCTTCTCCTTTTAGACCAACCTGTCCACAAAATGGTGGTAATTTTAGAGATGAAGAAATGAGAATGTTTTTTGAATATCCTAAAACTTACCTTGTAAGACCATTTTTGCCATGATAAGTCACGTTTCCCCTCGTTTAGTCCACTAAGTGAAACTGGGCCAAGAACACCAGCATTCCAAGTTTCGAAATGGGGACCAACATTCTGAGTTCATGTGCATGAACAAGCGTGTATAAGCGTATTATCATCCACTCAATGTCTAATAGTATCAAACTTGGATTTCCTTGACTTATCGATATTCTAGAAAAAAAGATCACGTGCATGCATGGGTAGCTGTGTGCGTGAAAGAGAGAGAGAGAGAACAGACCGGGAGACCAACAGCAATACTAAGCAGCGAAATTTTGTTGACTCCGGCTCTTAGATTTACACCTTGACTGAAAGTTAGTTTGGGATTTTCTAGACTTCCATAGCCAGTTCCTGTGGCGGAAAAAATATATATATATATATATACACAGATGAATACAATGAAGAACCATTTAGCAGCAATCTAACAACTAATTATTAATTTCTAAAGCACAAGAAGCTCCTAAAGTAGCTTTCATTTTGTCAAAGAAGACATTTATACTCTTTTACACTTTCTTAACATTTCCAAAATTTATCCTCCAAGAGAAGAAAAAAATATACTGCTGTGGTGATTTCTGAAGCGATTACACTAACTTCTTCAGGCGGATCTTTTGAAAGACTCCCACGGAGATCAGAACTTAATAAAATGATTAAATAAAGTAGAGAAATTTAGTGACCCGTAGATGCACCAACAAGATTTAGAATTGTTTGGATGCAAATAACCACTAACCTGACAATTGACCATTGATGAAAATATGCAGAGCATGGCCTGCGGATAAGACTGTAAGAACAGGCAACTCCCCACCTCTTAAGAATTCTTCACTATCATCGATCTTCACACTGAATAAAGAAACAAAGAAGGAAAAAGATAAGAAAAAAATATTTTTATCATCAATCTTCACACTGAATAAAGAATACTGATTCCAATAGCGTCCAATACTTTGACCATTTATCCACACCTGGCCTTTACTCATGCTATTCATGTCTAAAGCCAAAGGCCCGTCCCCATCTGGAGCATTAAAAGTAGACTGGAAAAAAGAACATATAAGTGGAGTATCAGCTAGGTAGCTTCAGTAAAAATGCGAGCAAAAACAACTAGGACGTGTAAGTGGATCTAAAATCTGGATTCAAATGAGTCATCATCATTCAGTTGCTACAAAAGACAGAATAATTGACCAAAACACACTCACCTTGTACCACGTTAATGGCTGCTTTTCATAGGAACCTTCAACCCATTCGACGGAAGAGCTTCCACTGAGCGAATGAATACTCAGAGCTTCTCCTTTTAGACCAACCTGTCCACAAAATGGTGGTAATTTTAGAGATGAAGAAATGAGAATGTTTTTTGAATATCCTAAAACTTACCTTGTAAGACCATTTTTGCCATGATAAGTCACGTTTCCCCTCGTTTAGTCCACTAAGTGAAACTGGGCCAAGAACACCAGCATTCCAAGTTTCGAAATGGGGACCAACATTCTGAGTTCATGTGCATGAACAAGCGTGTATAAGCGTATTATCATCCACTCAATGTCTAATAGTATCAAACTTGGATTTCCTTGACTTATCGATATTCTAGAAAAAAAGATCACGTGCATGCATGGGTAGCTGTGTGCGTGAAAGAGAGAGAGAGAGAACAGACCGGGAGACCAACAGCAATACTAAGCAGCGAAATTTTGTTGACTCCGGCTCTTAGATTTACACCTTGACTGAAAGTTAGTTTGGGATTTTCTAGACTTCCATAGCCAGTTCCTGTGGCGGAAAATATATATACAGATGAATACAATGAAGAACCATTTAGCAGCAATCTAACAACTAATTATTAATTTCTAAAGCACAAGAAGCTCCTAAAGTAGCTTTCATTTTGTCAAAGAAGACATTTATACTCTTTTACACTTTCTTAACATTTCCAAAATTTATCCTCCAAGAGAAGAAAAAAATATACTGCTGTGGTGATTTCTGAAGCGATTACACTAACTTCTTCAGGCGGATCTTTTGAAAGACTCCCACGGAGATCAGAACTTAATAAAATGATTAAATAAAGTAGAGAAATTTAGTGACCCGTAGATGCACCAACAAGATTTAGAATTGTTTGGATGCAAATAACCACTAACCTGACAATTGACCATTGATGAAAATATGCAGAGCATGGCCTGCGGATAAGACTGTAAGAACAGGCAACTCCCCACCTCTTAAGAATTCTTCACTATCATCGATCTTCACACTGAATAAAGAAACAAAGAAGGAAAAAGATAAGAAAAAAATATTTTTATCATCAATCTTCACACTGAATAAAGAAACAGAGAAGGAAAAAGATATTAAAAATGAAAACAGGTGATTTCTTTTTTCAAATGTTAATGCAAGTCAAGTCACTATGAAGTTACACCAGAACTTACTCTGTTGTGTACCACAAATAATCTGTCCGATCTCTGGTAGTATTAATCTGCTCTAATAGTCCAACCGTAGTAAATGAATTGTCTTCATATGATGCTGCTGTCTCTTCATTGTACGACTGCCAAGAAAATTCTGTGCCATCGGGGGTCATCTTCATTTGTCCACTTTGAGCCCCAACCTTCGTGAGAAAACTCAGATTGATTTAATTTTTATTTATCATGTAATAATTTAAAACTACAAGAGCTTTTTTAAGGCATTTGAGACACTTTTCCAGTAAAAAAAAAAAAACTTTTTTTTTTTTATGACCGTGAGTGTCCAAGCCAATTTACGTGCACCTCGCTAATCCCACGGGACCCTGAAATTTACAGGGTCCTGAAAGGACTCGAATTGGTGACTATTGAGGAGCAAACCCAGGCCTGACCACTGAACTATCCCTCAGGGTTTCTTCCAGTAAAAAAAACTAACATAGGTAATTTAATGGAAGAGACTTTTCTCACCCTTGCTGTATTATAAACAGTGTTTTTGCAATCGGGAAGGATGCTGATGGACCATGGAGGTAAGTTGTAATGCTTATTCCCAAAAGACACTTTCGCAAATGAATGCTGGTTGTAGTTTGCAAGAAAAGCAGCACAACCAGACTTGGATTTGAAAACATGAGCCTAAACAACAAAACAAAGGTACAGTTTGAAATTAAATTTTCATTGTTGACAAGGGCTAGTATTTGTGAGAACAAAAAATGTGTCCAACCTCCTGATAGTTTCCAAGTGGTGAAACAACAGGATCTGCAGATACTAAAGCCTGCTCACACAGCTTTATTGCTCGATGAAGATCTTTCAGATGACCCCATTTAGGTTGCCTCAACAATCCTGGACACGACAAAGAGAATTTCATTATTTAGGCTGATAAGCAGGCTATTATTTAGAAAATTTTGTGAGATGCACGCTTATTTAACCACAGAAAACCAGTGCAGCAGATAAGCAATAGGAAACAACCAGTGTCATTGGGCTTTTTAAGGACATTTAAATTATAGCACGAGATCAGTTGTCTTATGAAAACAAGGACCTGCTTGTGGTACATAGTTCAGCTACATTAGGTGCTTGTATGTATATTAACCACCTTTTGCCTTTAATTTTTTGACAACATATCCACGCGAGTTCTCATTTACCTATCGATGTGATGATCAATCCTCTACCGTCAATTTGGCACCATGTGTGACAATCACAATCCACAAATCCAATAATATTGAGGGGGTGATAGTGACTTGGTAACATAAAAACTATAAGAGTTGCTTCTTTTATCAAACAACAGGTGGCAATCTGAAAAGACATGGCAAACTATGATTGGTGTGGGACTGAATTTGTATTGTTATTTCACAATACACAGGACGAATCATGCATGCCATGTTAAGCTTATTATTTAACGCAAGAAATAATCTTAGGAGCATAATCCTGTGTGCATACCGTACTGATCAAGAGGTGCATCATAGTCATAACTAGTTGCAATAAATGGACCACCAGCAGTCCTGCCAAAGTTTGTTCCTCCATGATACTGCTCAAAAGGAAAGAAGAGAGACATTTAGCAAATCTATTACAAATTGGTTTCAGTAACAAATTCATTGACCCGTCAATTTACCATATAATAGTTAATGAAAGATCCCCCCTTCTGTATGAATTTTGCAACAGAAAATGCCATATCTTCAGCTGGACGGTAGGGAACCGGACCTCCAAATTCAGTAAACCTATAAAAAGTCTTGTATGATATAACTGCTGATAAAATGAATAGAAAAAACTCTCCTACGAATATTCTGACCCTAATAAGAAAGTATAGATGCAATAAGTTGATAAAATCACTAGTCATAAGAACAGTTTAAAGATTACCAGCCAGTCCATGCTTCAGTCCACATCTTCGGCTTATAAGCCTTATTGGGAGAGAAGTTATCACAATAGAAACCGTTGCAGGTATTGATCTGGCAATAAAAATTAACATTAAAGTAGGATATCAAGACAGATTATTCTATAAACATATTTCAATAGATATTAATATTTATCTTTTCAAGTAGAAGCTCGAGGAACTATTAAGAATATTTTAGATTACGGCTTGATGTAGTTAAATTATTTTTTAATTCATTTACATCCTTTGACAGGATCAAGTTGAAACTATTATTTAAAAGAACACAATGGGTGGAAATTGAAAGTTGAAAGACAGAGAAACATGGCCATTATTTAGTCATAGCCAAGATTCAAAGGTCAGATTATATAATAATACAGTAATACAGATTGGCGCGAGAAAGTGAAGAAGCAAAGCCATGTGCAGGGTAACCAGGATTCAAATATTATTGTGCACATTAGGGGACAAGACACTGTTACATAGGAAGCCCACTAAGAACGAGAGAACACGACCCCATAACCATTAAAAAATGGGAATATGAAGAAAGAGAAAGAACATAAAAAAAATGATGTTGATAAAAGTGATCGAACTCACAATGGGATCCGGGGCATCATCTTGCTTACACATGACCCATGGGACACCAGTGCCAAGATCAACCGCCATTTTGGCGGCCCATTCTGTGTAAGCTTGACCAGGTGAACCTAGTTCGTATTCCATAGGTCCATACTCGTTCTCAATCTGTCACATACACACATTTCCATTTTATTTTCTTTCCATACACCGAATATCTTGTGGATCTTTTTTGCGCATAGGCTTAGCATTGGAAATCAGAACATGGGAAAACAGAATGAAACAGAGCACAAGGACTACCTGAGATAGAATAATTGGACCACCCTGAGATTTATACAGTTTTTCTGATTTCATCATATTCACTATTTTGGTTGTAAATTTTTGCATTGCAGCCTTTGTGTGAAAGATATTAGACACCAGAAATTCAAAGCACATAATTAGAAATCAATGGAATAAATTTGACTAAAATGGAAACTCAAATGTCAAGCTATTACTCAACTAACCTTAAAAGGTCCATTATCGGTTCTGAAACTAATCCCAGGAAGATACTTCAACCAAACTGGAAAACCCCTAGATTGAAACAAGGAAAGTGCTCAGCATAAAACCGTTTTCCCAAAAAATTATTATTATTATTCCCCTCTAAATAGAAAATTCCATTTGCATTCTCTAAAATTACCCAAAGTTCCATTCAGCACAAGCATAGGGACCAATTCTAAGATGAACATAAAGCCCTGCTTGCTGTACCAGCTTAATAAACTTCACCAAATCATACCTCTCTTCAAAATAATACTACAAAATCAGAAAATAAATTAGTAAAAAATTCCCCCAAAAAGTGAAAATAAAAATAAATAACTGAAAATATTCATGAAAAATGCTAATACAATTTATTTACTTTTCCGAGTTCAGGTTCATGCCCATTCCAGAAAACATAAGTCTGGATCACATCCAACCCTCCTTCTTTTGCCTTCTGAATAAGATCCGGCCACATCTACAATGCCCAAAAAACTTGTTTAAAAAAAAAAAAAAAATGCCATTCCAAAAAATTCTTTGAAGTACATTTTCACGAATATACCTCAGGGGTGCTTCTTGGGTAGTGAATGGATCCAGATATAAGAATCCTCCTTTGCCCATTTACATTAATGGCCTTATTGTCATACGAAACAGAGGCTTCCCCAAAAGAAACACATGAACTCAATAACACCATAACGACAAGCAAAATTGGACTGCACATTGTAATCCTCAAACCCATAATGCAAAAACCCTTCCTCTGTTTTCAATATTGTAGCTTTACAAAGCAAAACCCTTTATTCTTTGATTCTATTCCTTCTTTCCCTCTTCCACTTTATTCCATACTTGTTTTGAGTAAGATAGAAAGAGTAAAAGAAACAAAAGGGATGAATATAAGTGTAAACACAATTACGAAGAACCAAGATTTACAAGGCAAAAACAGCTGTTTTTCCCTTTGTTTTCAAGATTCTCTCTTTTCGTTTCTGTAATAATTAAAGATTAGAAACACAGAAACTGCAATTGGGACTTGGAAATTGCTGATTTGTGTGCTTTGCAGCTGCATTTAAAAATGTGGGTCGTTTTGCGAGTTAAAGTGGGGCCCTTTTGCCAGACTTGGTCCCCACAAAGGGGTCCCACCTCGTCCTACGCCTCTCCATTTAATACCAACACCCAATAAAGTACTAGCTACAAATCTGTTTATACAGAAAAGTTTTTTTTTTTTTTATTTATTTAAATATATAATAAAAGGATTGATAAAGGTCTGTTTGTTAGTAAAAATGCGCTTTAAATGCGTGTTAAAATGTTCGTGCACAGCACAGAGGTCAATTTCTCAGATCCCGACGAGGACGGTCAGTCCATAAGGTTATGTTTGTCTTTTGGATTTTCAATTCCCAAACGTGACCTTAGCCGTTCACTCTCACTTACAGAGCCACTGGAAATATGTTGTATCACGCGCGAGTTGAGCGAGTAAGATCTTTTCTCTTCCAATTCCCCACTAGCTGTCTAGCACCACTGCGCCACAATAACAAAAAATTATTATCATTATTGTTATTATTATTATTTATGGTGTGAACGATATACTTTAATTGAACTTAAATAGTCAAAGGAAAAATAATATCATATTCTATTTTATTGAAAATGATACTAATAATTCGAATATTTTCTAATAAAAAAAATCCCATCAAATCCTTGGTTAATATCAGTTATGGAATAGTGGTGATTTTCATAAAAATAAAAAAATATATTGAGCGAGCTCGCGTTTATGGAATTATAATTCAATTTGATATGTTTATTACATAATTTGCTTATCACCTACAAGCCTGATTCAAGTTTTAATCGTACTCGTAGTAGTTAGATTGGATAAATCGAACAACTCATTACTGATGCAAATTTGAGTTTCTCGTATGCCAGATCAAAGTTATTCGATTTACATTAAAATTCAGAAGTAATTGACCTTCTTGTGACGTGAGAATTACGATCCTTTACAAACTAATTTTAAACATTTTAGGTTAAAGATCGTCATAAGATAAGTATTTGATTTTTGTCCATATTAAAAACTACTTTTTTAGAAAGTAAATTAATGCTTGTTTCTTCTTTTATTTGTTCGAAAGGTACACTAAAAATCATATCTGATATAATAAGTAACTTTTAAATGTAATTAAATTCATTTTAAATATAAAATAATAATCTTCGCTGTGAAGTGTAAATGCTTCATTCCAGAATCAGGACACATGAAGATTTAAAAATTAAGTTTTACAAAATTATAAAAAATTAGCCTTTTAATTACCAATAAATTATTATTATTCTCATTTATCATCATGATATAGTTGCAAGATTTAGGTGGATGTAATGGAATCAAGCTGTTTGCATGAGAAAGTAGAATGTTACTTTCAGCAATTAATCAATACTTACCTCCTAAAAGAAATAAAGTCCCATAATTATTTATTAGCCTAATTTTTGATTAAGCAACAATTAGAGCCCTTAACAAGAAGATAATCTTTTAGTTTTAGTACTTGTCATAATTGAGTGATTGTTTGACAACCATTAATTTTTTTTATAGTTTACTACAATATTATTTTCAACAACACATTCGCGCAATAAAATATTATTCATGTATACCATAAACATTTATCTACTTTTTTAACAAACTATTCAAAACTCACGTTTTCCCAATTAATGAGACCAACTCATATTATTAAATGCTCCATATTGAATTTTTTACCCATCTCTTCGCAATAAATAAATAATAATAATAATCTTTGTACTATACTAAGTTATTTTTTTTGGCAAAGTTTTTGAAAATTTAAAAACTACTTCTGAGATTAAGGGCTTGTTTCAAATGGCTTCTAAAAAGTCAAAAGCCGCATTTCTTGTTTAAATAATTTTTCTGAAGTGCTTTGTTCGTCTATAAGAACTTTTAGAGAAAGTTGTTCTAAGATTACTTTACTAGGAAGTTCTTTTAAATGAAGTAGAAGCACAATCTAAGAAGTTGCTTTTAAACATTTTTTTAATAATTTTCTGAAAGTATTTTATTTGACTAAAAGGATTTTTAGATAAAATTGACCTGAAATGCCATCATCAGGATGAGTTAAAAAAGGAGAGAAATGGAGGTCGACAAGGATGACAGTTTACCTATTTTTTCCTTTTTTTTTTTATATATTATTTTATAAAAAATCAATTGTGTACTTATTTTATTACATAGGTGAGGCATGTTCAATTCAAGTGCTTACTTAACAAAAATGTGGATGAATGTGCATTTTTACGCACTTATTCCGGTCATGTTATAAAGTTTTTGTTTCATTTTAGTATTGAATAATACTTTAACTTGGGTTAATTTTTATCTTGTTTCAGTTTGAGACCCGTTTTTAAACAATTAGAAAAGAAAGAAAGAAATATTGACTAGTGGATGGAAGTTTAGGGACTAATATGCATTTGAATAAAAGTTGAAGGATCAAAAATCTAAGTATTTTAACGTGTGGAACCAAGTGGAAGAAAGGGGCTAAAAGAAAATTTTTAGAAGTTTTTTATAACAAGACAATCACCCAGTTATATAGGGCGAGCGGGCTTAACCTAAATTACAGGGGCTATTTTAGTATGCCTGGGCAGCTGCCCCGTTTACTACTGGATGCTTGCCTAGACAAATTCAGCAAAACAATTTGATTTTCTTCATAATTCAATTCCAAAAAGAAAACTTCCGTTTTGGTGATGATATACACATTTTAGAGACCTTTTGGGACTTTTTAGAGAGAATATAAATACCAACTCTCAAAACACAATTAGGGTGGAGAATTGATTCCAAAAGGAGGCAAAGAACATATCAAGATTGAATTCAAGAATTTTCGGGTGATGAATAACTTTTATATCTTTTGCTTTCTTCTTCACAACATATTAGACTAGATTTCTTTGTACTATGAGAACGATAGACCATGTAATATGAGTTGTTAATTTTTAGTTTTACATATTTGACATTGAAAACACATTTTTTGGATTTTGAATGATTTGCATAATAATCTTTTCTCAACAATTATTGTGCACGATAGTTGTATGAATTTGGTGGCTTATGTTATGCATTCGAAAGAATGAAAATAGGCTCAATATGTGTAAATTGTCATAGGGTCCGATAGGAGATGGAACTTTATCGCTACACTCTATGTGAATTTTTGAGAGTTCATAAAAATTCATGTACTCTTGTATGTTTGCATCTATCGTAAAAATATATTCGTGTCATATATGAGAGTAGGCTTAACATTAGTTGAGAATGATTGTTAAATAAAATAGGAGCATTGATTCTTCAAAATTCATTCGTATTGTGAAGGTGTAAAACTAAAGTTAAAAAAGAATTATTACATGGGAGAATTCGTGATCCTATTGCTCTTGTCATTCTTTAAAATACATTAACTTGCATTTATTTTAGTTAATTTACTAATAATTGTATAAGTAGATTGTTTTGGTTATAATTTCGTCAACCACATCACCTTATTATTATTTAGGTTAAGGTCACGATAATTAAAATTAAACTAAATTAATCTCTTTGAGACGATACGTGGACTCAAATTTACTTTATTATTTGTTAATGGATCGTACACTTGTGGTGGTTTTAATTCAAAAAAATATTTTTGTGAACAATTTTTTTTTTGTGTCATTGTCAGAGATTGAGTTTTGGTTTAATTTTATTTGCCTTTGTACTAATTCGGACTTCTACCTGTATTATTGTATTTTTATTTTCGTTCCATTTTAGTTTTTTGCCCTTTTTTCTCTCCCTTTCAGGATATATAAAAGAAAAAATAGTAGGATAAAAAATAAATGTGATTGATTTCAATAAGATGCTCGTATATGACTTCTTCATAAGGCAACAACAATTGACAACTCAAGAAATTGATGAGGGACAACAACTACGAGATATAAAAGTAGAATGTAAACTTGATAAAACTGTCATGGGTGACTTACATGTTGCATTATTTCTCTCACCATAAGTTGATGTAGGTGATTTCCCTATGATATTATTTCTTCTTACCGGTTATTAATGGACATCGATTAAGGGAATCATATCAATAGAACTTTTTACAAATATTTACAAATACAACAAGAGAAGAAGACTCTCCATGAAAATGTCTTTCTTTACCAAAAGTTTTGATTACAAACGTTTAAGTCGAGAAAATTTCAATTAAATAAGAGGAGCACGAAAAGATCGAGAAATTAAACATAACAGGCAAAAAAGAACTTATAGCATTCGAAGAAGAGGAAATTAGCATGCAATTCCTAAACTTCATCGCTTGCTCAAAAATTGAGTTTGTGATTGAAATTTATGAGGAAGTTGAGGTGTACATTGTTGAATTCAAAAAGGATAGTAAGGGTAAGTCATACTACTTGAATAAGGACAAGGTGAAAATTTGGAGGAAAGTTGCAATATGAAACAAAGTGAAATAAAGCAAGTTAAGTAGGATCTCTAAAGCCATATTCAAAGTGCCATAAAACACTAAACCCCAAAAAAAAAAAAATGAACCTTATGGATTGCTGCTTTCCGACCTTCCCACATCCAACTAAGGTAGTTACTTAGCTATTAAGGAGAAATTCCCTATTTTTATTTATTGATGAGATAGTGAAAAAGTGGGGCTCTAGACTTTAAATTAGTCACTTAATGGGAGACAATCCATTTTTCTATCAGTTGTCTCTTCTTTTGATTAAGTATTGTATTACAAGTAAATTTTTAGATATTGCATTAGTATTTTAGGGTCATATTTAGAAATTCATGCATGTAAATGATTTTTAACACATTTTAGGTGGTATTTTAAAATTTGCATTAGTAACTTGGCACGTTTACCTATTCGGTTCAATTTACTTAGGCTTATCATTAACATTCTAGTATTATATTGAGTTACATTGATGTGATATCATCTTTTATCGAAAAAGCAGAATATTGATGTTATCAACATGGATGAAATGTTTATACCTTTAGATTGTTTCGCTGTAACATTCAGGGAAAATGAATTTGCATCTTCTCAGTGTGGAGTTCTTTTATGATATCATTGATATG